CCCAGGTGAATATCAAGCAGAGGTATGTGGTCCGGAGTCAAGGCCTGGTGGAGTTATGATGTTTAGGAAACCAAATATGCTAAGGGCCAATTTCTTGCATAGATCGAGTCAGCCAAATAGGTTGCTTGTTGATGTTGTTTTCCAGGTAATTTGTTTGTTTTATAATATTGTTTGGAATGTAAGTTATTTAGCTAACTAAATGTTGTTTGCAATTACAGGCTCCACCACCACCAACATGGCCTCTACAACAAGTTGAATTGAACAATGACCCGTTCAACTCGGACGAGGAGGCAGAGCCAGGTAGTTACTACTTCAATTCTGGTTTGGATTTTGATGGCTCTAATCACTACTGGGGATTTGTAAAAGACCTATGATGAAGATGCTAGGGATCAAATACTCCTCAATGCTCTGTGTCTTTGTTTAATTAGTACTGTAGTTTTATTTTCCTTTCCCTAACACTATTTTTCTGTATGCCTAAGACTATGTTTGATTATGCCTTCACTATGTTCGATTATGCCTTCACTATGTTCGATTATGCCTTGACTGTTTAATGCATGTATTAGCTCTGAAGTTATTACGAATAGGGGGAACCTTGAATATTCCACTTAACTTTGATAGTGGTACATTTAATTATCCGAAAATGCCCCACTGAAAGGAAATGACGTTGGTATATTTAATCATAGTGGTACATACCTATGTTGTGTATATGAATAATGACCCTTTCATATGCATTGTGTGTACATACTACGTAGCTATGCTGTGTACATGAAGTGAATATGCACAACGAACTGCAATCAAAGAGTACGTTTTGTACTTTTAATTGTACCACTAGAAAACCAGTGGTAGGAGAATACTGACCCTTTCATAAGGGGCAATCAGTCCAAAACTTGTCAGCTAAATGAAGGGGGTGAACTCTAAATAGTGGTTGGATTACTTTCCATGTTTTTTTTGTAGTTGGATTACTATTTGCGTTCCTTAGCATTATTCTATGAATTATGGATTGTAATGTTCAATTTCGTTGCTGTTATTTTAATGAATTGCACTTTTATTCTAATTCATGAATACATTGATGGATCAATGGTACAAACCACACCAATTTAATGTACCATTGCAAAGACAAGTGGCACTTGTACTATACCATTGTGAACTAAATTGTAAGAATATCATTTACATTCCACCAGTGGCACTTGCAATGTACCTATGGCACTGTACGTTGAGTTTAAATTAGCCTGTTCGTGTAGATTGCAAAAAGTAATTAAAGTGCAGTTGCTGCATAATCTACAAAATGCAATAAAAAACCTAATGCAGACTTCACATCAAACACTTATCCATGAGTGGACAGACCACCTCCACAGCCAAAGCAGCTTAATAGTTACCCCTGAGTGGACAGACCACCTCAGGGAGGAGTACGTTTGCCAGCAAGTGTTTAAATGTTCAATACACAGTACTTAGAGCCACCACAATTCAACCCCAGAAAATAATTACACCATCGCCCAGACCATTAACATAACACATCACAGTTTTCTCGTTGTTTTCCTAGAACCTGTAATCAAATCCCCCAGACCATCTTTTAATTACACTGCACGTCGTCCAAGAACAAATTTGCCCGAGCACTAGGAATCTCCCCCTGTATATGTATGCACAAACACTATAGCCAACCACTTTAGATCTTAACACAAAACACAGATATATACACCACTTACCACACTGAACCTCGTGGTGAATCTTCTGGCGAAGAACTTAAAACACGCCAGCATAAGAACACCACAGTATGAGCTGCGCATTGGAGGACCACAATCATCATAAAAGTTCAACATATGTTCTTCTGACCTTAAAATGGTCAGCTAGGCTGAAAGTTATTGACACAGTAAGTAAATAAGGAAACAAGTGCTTACTTATCCCTTGGCTCTAAGATCTCAAAAGTGCATCTCGTTCAAGAATGTAGCTGACCAGTCTTCCATGCTGGGTCACAAAGTCGAAAAAGGACGTCGATACCACTAACCTGTAGTTTGACAAACACATTACACATAACCAAATGGGTCCTAGTAAATACCATGTTTATTTAGAATGAAAGGCATTAGAATTAGTACCAGAAGATCAAACTCTTTGGCATGTGTGGTGAACGGGTCAGGGTACATAGAATCTATCATCCACAATTGTCGAGCCTTCATGTCTAATGCTAAGCACCACCAGTGCGACTCGTCAGGGGAATCCTTAGGAACTTCTAGCACTGGGACAAAGACTTGATAAAATGACAATGTCAACGCCATAAGCACAATTTAGAGTAGTTACACGAAACACATTTAAACCTAGAGTATTGAACTATGAGAGTAAGTAGCTGACTGCTCGAATCCGCGATAGCTTAAATCTCAGAAGAAATTTGGCATACTTGTTACAAATATGTTCTTTTTTTTCCTTCGTTCAACAATAGTCGATTCTACTATCCAAACAGAAAAAATAACAAGCATGACCATCAATTGTGCACGTAAATGTGACACCCCAAAGCTGAAATGAACCACGAACCACTTACCGAAAAGCTTGGGTCAAGCAAAATACGCTTGCTTCTGTTCCCAAAGTCTTTGGTGGCCCACTACTTGGTGTATAGCACATTGGCCATTCTAACATAATCACTAGAAACCCACGATTTATGGTGCACCACTTCAAAGCAATCCCTCTGGTTGGCTTCCATGTGGTCACACTTTATCAACACAATACTAGGCCTATGAAGTGAAGCAACAACATAACACCAAGTATACACATAAACATATTAGAATTTACAATTAAAACCAAAAATTTACAAAAGGCATGCAAAAAACAGACTTTTCACTCAATTACACGTTTCTGAATTACCTAAGTGGATCCTTCAGGTCCTTCCAGCTTTACAAACTGTAGCAAACGTGCCTCGATCGTTGCATGGCATCGGGTGTTTGACACATTGGTGAACATGGCTGACAAGGCTGCCTTTGTAGGTTTCACCACCCTCTTATCCGCAGTTCCGTCCACCTTCCCATCAGACTCATCTTCCTCATTAGATGAAGATGAATTTGCCAAATTGCACTGAGCATCAACCGACATAGTAGTTCCCCTCGTCCCAACCAAGCCCACAACTATTTCAGGTCTAGGCTCTATGTTCTCATCTTCTCCTTCAGGATCAGAACAACAGCCATGGAACTCTGAGACAACACCTTCATCAACCCCATCCACCTTGGATTCATCCCCAACCACCTTGGCATCACCCCAGCCTCTGCAAACAGTGGATCAACCGAAATCTTTTCAACCACACGGTCCAGGTCATCTTCACCTGAAACTGTATCAGTAGAAGGATCTTCCCCACCAAATCCTTTCCCACCTTCTTTCAATTGTTCCTTCTCTAACAAACAACTACCGAAAGGCTGATCCGCACCATTCACAGCATCATGCTTTTCACCAGACAAGTTCTCATTCACAACAACTTCCTTCTCCATTGGCTCACTCTCTAGGCATTAGCTACGTCAACACACTGTGACATCAACTGATGCATTGATTTCATAACGTCACCTAATTTCAAGTCTATCACAGACATCAACTTTGGAGTAATTCTACCCAACACCTTCAAGAAAACATAAATACAAACTATTAACAACTGGCATAGGACATATCACTTATTTTATAAAATACAAAGCTACATCTAAAACTATTGCATTATACCTGCCGCGTAATATTTTCCACGTCTACCTCTTGCGTAGTCTGTTGCACGTCAACTATTTCCACCCTTTTCTTTAGAACCTCCCGAGGAGTCAACGAATGCTCCTCCCCATATGCTATATCTAGAGACTACAAAAGAATCAAACACAACAACTTCAGCAGTATTCACATAAAATGAAAGTCAAACTAATACTAACCGGCAATTTCCCAAAATCCCCAGATTCTTTTTTATCATCGCCAACCGCCTCATTAATATTTTCTTCGAACCATGCCTCAAGTCTCGGTCTGACACCCCACCTCATTGGGACGCGACTGAGGTGATCTAGATAAAAAATCTACAAAAATGCAGATGATTTAGTTCAACTAACCATTACAAACAATAAGATTGCAAAATTTAATAATATTACTCAAAGAGCATTTGGTGTACGGTGGCAAATACCCAATTTTAATCTCCAGAAAAAAAATGATACGACCCCCAGAACCTGCAACATATCCATCACGAGCAAATTTCTTTTGGAAACTCCTGGTTGATACAACCATCCAGTTAAATACATAAGTGCACCAGTCATACTCATTAGCTTCATCGTAAACCAATAACAACGGTACAAGCTTCACCCCAAGATAGCTTGTATTTGTCGTAGCACACAATAAGTAGCCCAGAGCTGCTATGAGAAAGACTGTCTTGAAATCAGGCTTCTCGTCATCCGACAGCGGCACCACATTACCTTCCTCATCCTTTCGAATCAGTGCCCCTAAAGCACTACTAATGAAATGCTATCATTTTTCCCAAACTTTTCTAAAATTCTACTATGCTCTGCCCGCTTATCCTCATGAATTGTACACGGCAATGCCTTCGACCCTATGGGAATCCCAAGTACGTACTCGACCTGAAGAGGACTCAAAGGAAGCACATAGTCATCTCCAAAAGTTATCAAACCATCACCCATCACCCTTGTCAACATCCAGTACACAAACTTCCGGGGTACAAAAGTTAGGGGTATACTTAACAACCCTCCAAAACCCATTTCTGTGACCAGCTTCTTCCTAGAGTCATCAAACTTCTTCACTGCAGTTGCAAAAGCCTTCACACCATGCAAATTTTGGGCCTACAACATTACATTCAAACACGACAGACTTCAATCAAATGACACCGGCCCAAGCCTCACAAAATAAGACCACTAACCGATTAAAATCCTTCTAGGTTACTCAATTTCTTCAATTCTAACTAATTCCTTTCTAGGTTACCTCAATTTTTTACATTTCCAACTAAGTTGCAACAAATTACAGCAACTGTCCTTCCATATAAACCAGCTAAAGAGACACTAATTATACAATCCCATTAAAATTACTTGTGAATATTCTATAAGGGATTTTAATCTTGCACATCCAATTAAGGACCCACAATATACCATACTTAACTTACAACTCAAGTACAATTTACAATTAATCTTTAGTAATTTAGTTTATTTTCCCAACTACCTACAAAGGCCCAACCACAGAAATCCCAACAAACATTTCCATGTCATGGATTTCAAATAATGTTCAGAGAGTAACTTCTGCGTACTTCTTGATTGGGTTTTAACGACAACCCCTTTCTCCTTCGCCACTTCTCCCTTCGTCTTCTCAACCTACACATGACATTACACATTTCATTTCGACATCCAAGTATTACACAACAAATAAGCTTTTATCATTTGCATCAAACATGACATACCTTTAGCTTGCCCCTCTTTCCTGTCCTTTTCTCAATATGACCTCGCTTGCGCTTCCCTTTCTCAATCTTTTCCCGCAATAACTTGATCAGGAGATCCTGGTAGCTCACTTTGTCCTGTTCAAATTCTTCCTTACTACCTTCACCGTCGTCCTCCACATCCTCATCTACCTCATACACCATCTGCAGAATCAGCATCATCATAACCAGATTCTTCATAACCACCATCATCAGAACCAGCTTCATCAGAGTCCTTTAAATACTCTTCCTCAATCACTGGATCAGATTTCAGTTTCTTCTTCCCTTTACTAGCTACTTTATTTTTTGGCGCCTCCTCATTCACGGATTTCGACCGCGCCTACACAAACACAGATATTTACCAGCAAAAAAAACTACAACACACAACAATCACTAAGCAAACACACAATCTTTTAATTTCAAAAAACAATAACTCACCAATCCTGATCCCTTGCTCTTCCTCGGCATTATTTCCTCCTGCCAAGTTCAAATGAGCGCTTGATAAATAGGATTTCCCAACTAAATAAAACCATTTCAACAAACCCTTAACTATTCACATATAATTTCTCCACTATATTCACATATACATACCACAACAATCATAATTCAATACGTCTACCACCCCATAAAACTCAAAATTAATCACTTATTTACATGGATTCAAATTAACTTAAGTACTTTAATTCAACACTCCTACCACCACCACACCCAAAACAATTTCGCTTGTTTATTACAATTAAAAAACAAAGGGTCGCAAATTTCAGCGGCTAGCAAAGCATTACATAATCTAACAACAAATTTATTCCAATTACGAGTTTCAAAACCTCAAATTAATTCCAAATATAAACATGAACAACAAAGGAAACCCTAATTTTCTAATTTCACTGGATAACCGTAAATCACATAAAGAAAAACATCATGACAACAAATTCATTCCAATTAAGGGTTTTAGAACCACGCCCACTAAAAATTTTCCCAATTAAACAAATGAACAACACAAGAAACCCTAAATCGCTAAATTCACCGGAAAACCCTAGATTACATAAACTAAAACTTCATAACGACAAACAAAAGTCACAAATACAACATTTACACATAAATTCATAATTCAAGAAGTGTTTTGCGCCCATACCTTCAATCAAACGACGAACCTAGTAGCAGCTACCTACAACTTACGCACCAACTACACCGCAGTAAACTTCTGCTCTTGCTCCGGCGATAACCACCGTCCTAGCGTCTTCGTTGGAACAGAGTACAAGACCTTTAGGGGGGAGAGAGAGTCGAGAGAAAACAAGAAACGGAGGAGAGAGAATAAGCTTTAAAGGTAATGCAATTGGTTTTCGAAAAATAACGGGATACCAAAACACAGTCACCCTTCCACTCCACTTTTTCATTTTAATGCCTGGTAAATGACGCTCATGCCCTCCTATACACTTGATATGCCCATAGCTGCTATGCGCTGATATGTACTCCTCAGGGTTGGTGCCCTAATAAGGAGTGCACTGATTGGTAGCACAATCAGGTTGAGACACGTGTCTTTTGGGGGTGACGTTATGGCGCTTTTCTCGGGAATTGAACCTCTTGATGTATGGAGGCCCTTTCTCATTCAGATTCTCTTATGCTTTGCCATGTGTCGTCATCCTATTGGGACACGTGTCGCCCTTTCAGTGGGCCACGTGTCACTATTGGATTTGTCCACGTGATGGGGTATTGTTTATTCTAAACATATGCCCCTCATAGGGGGTGGCTCATACCATATGTGCCGCCTCCTCTGATTTTTATTCTTCCGGAGACGTCCAGGTACTAGGCTTATTGAGCAATTTTTGTTGAGAGGGGCAAATTGTGCCGTCCGCCTGGATATGGGAAGTATCCCTTTGGGCTAGTTGCCTTTGGTTGTCCACCTGTTTTTAGTTTGGACTTAAGTCTTGAAATTAGACGGACAAATGGTGATGCCTGATATCAGGCGAAACACCAGTCCTCATCATTTTTCAGATCAACGGTTTAACTTCGTTAACCTGGCCGTTTGTTTTAACATGTCGTTTTAATAACCGTACACCTTCTCCGTCTTTATTGACGGAACGGTTTAATAACCGTTTGAGCTTCTTGGTTAAATTTCTCAAAAAGGACACGTTTGGTCTTCTAGGCGGGAAAGGTAAGTTTACCAATTTGCCCCCATAAATTTTCCTATAAATAGGACTTGTTTGACTTCATAAAATCACTTTGGAACCTTGCGTTTTCTAGAGAGAAGTCAGAGCTCTTTAGAGAGAGAAAGTGTTTTCCTTCCCAATCTTCGAGAGCTCCGCCACGTAGTTGAGTTTTCAGTTCGTGCACTTGAGTTTGCCGGTCAAATTGTGGGGTTGTGACTTGACTATTCAAGATCTTCGAAGTTTCCCAAGTTTTCTACTTGTAGAGAGGTAACCGTCTGCTTCTTCTTTGATTTTCCTTTTTCATATACTTGTTTTTATTTTTAAACACAAATTGGCAAATCACTCGGATTCATCCGTCTCTCCTCATGAGGTCGGCCGTTCTCCTAAGACTAAGGAGTCTAGAGTGGATGGGGTCGACTGCGTACCAACTCACCCCCACCTATTCTTCTCTGTCCCTGCAGTCGAACATGACGCGTATGATAGTGACATACGACCGAAATGCGATCAGGATTCCAAACGACACTCCTGCTGATTCTTTAGTACCTATGAACCCAAACGACACGGATGTGGATGACACAAACGTGGACTTTAGCGGGAGTGCCTGTTTGGTGGTGGAAGTAACTGCCACCTCGTCCAAGAAAAACACAAAACAAAACCCCCTTTCTCGGTCTTCAACTAGAGAGACCAGGGATAGAGAAACTAGGGCGTCCGACCAAAATCTGGAACAACGCCCTTCACGATACACCAGCTCGGTCTTGATGCCGTCCGAGCTGCTTTTTTCTGAGAGGCCTCATTCTTCAATTCAGGGGACTCTAGGTCTGGCCGAAGAGGGTAGTCTGGTAAAAATCCTTAACGACAATCAACCTAAAACACCAGCTTGGCCAGGCCGCCCGGGCTGCGTATTTATGAAAGGCCTTCAACAAATGTTCAGGCAGACGTTACTAACGTGTCCAACCTGCCTCCTCGTAGCAGTCCTCCTTCTAGAAATCAGGCGGACGCTTAGAAGAAGAGAAAGGATAATGGTAAGAGACCCTTGGTGCTAGAGGGCACTGTGGTTGTTGAGCCGGGTCAGGGTTCAAAGGGAGGAAGCTCAACCGAAGCTGCTCAATTGGACACAGTGTTGTCCTTTGAATTTGGTTCGGCCAGGAACCCTGAACCACATGCTGCCAAGTAAAAGGCAGAAAACCCGAATGCTAGACAAGCGGACAAGCAAGTTTATGCGGTCAGCTTCAATGAGCCTTATGCCTGCCCGGTCGGCAATGTAGCCCTCGCCTTCCTTCATGATAAATTTGAGAATTTCAAAGAATTTCTTAAACTTAGGAAGGGCTACCCCATTCATCCGCCGAGGCATTCTAACTCGGTGGCCTCCTACGAAAATGAGAGGCCTAGGAGTAGGAACTTCAGCATGTACCGCACTGCTTTGGAGGTGGGGCTCCGCCTTCCCCTTCATTCATTCGTTTAGGAGATGCTAGGCGAATATGACATTGCTTTATTTCAGCTGGTGCTGAACAGCTGGGCCAACATATTTGGCTACTTGGTGACATGCCTTAGGAATGGCTTCACCCCCACCTTCCCGGTCTTCTACGAGATGCAGTCGATGGTGCGGATAAATGCCTGTAGGCGTCATTTGAAGCGCGCCTACTTAAGCATGTTGTGAATATACTTGGCACTCATAGGAAGCGGGATTTGACATATACGATTAGGGACAAAACAAATTAAGGATCCGCCAACAAGTTTTTAAGGAACTTGTAAATCGTTCACGGATCAATTAAGGCAACCACGAAAAGGGACACTGATAGGCAACAACGATTGACTCGTGAAGGTTGCACCCCATTTATAATCCACGAGATTAGTAACTCCATATGGTTAAAAAACCACGAAAGGTGGATCGGAAATGATGGTACGAATTGAGTCATGGAGTTTGGCCTCTACTCGATTCTTATTGTGAAAAGTATTTCCTACAATCTCAAAGGCACACAAACAAAGATTCAATTTTCTCCAAACTAATATTAAGTTAAATTGGTTGAATGTTAATGCACACATATAATTCTAAATATCGTGACCACTTGATTAAACAATAAGATTAAAAAAGAACCTAAACCGGTCGTGTAAATTATCTTATTAAGCGTTATATTCAATTACATATTCCCTTTAAATATGTAATACGGTGATCAATAAATATAATAGAATGAACAATAATATAGGAAGCAATTTAACTATAATAATGTTAGTCAAGTCAAAGCATAATAATAAACCTAATCATGATACTAGCAATTGAATAATAATAAGAGTAATTAAGTGAATTAATTACTCACGTTCCACGCTTCTTTAAATTGCTACATCATGAACTAAACGTTAGTAACTTCAAAAAATAATAAATAAAATTGAAGCATGATTAAAGGAAAATAGAGTTGATTTGGTCCAAACCCTCAATCGGTTCTACCTTTCACGCCTTGGTTTAAGTATGGAACTTCGGGTGTTGATGGGCTCCTTGGAGTGCTTAATTAGGGAAGAAATGGGGTAATTAAGAGAATAAGTTTAAGGCTTAGAATGAGAGAGAGAGGAATTAGAATGTGTGTTGGTACCCAAAACTATAAAATCAGTCTCATATTTATAGAGAAAATGTGAGGGAAGAGGTACAAAACCCTAGAAACGAGGCACCACGCACGGAAAAATTTGCCGTGGTGCGGCAGAAACCGCTGTGGCGGGGTAATTTTCAATTTTTACTCGTTTTTAAAACCGTGATATCTTTTGATCCGTAAATCAGAATAAGGTGTATAATATATCGTTGGAAAGATCTTTAATTTTAATTTCCAACCCAATTAGAATCAGGTCAAAATATTTTGTATATTTTGATATATGGCCGTTTTAGTGAAAGGGTGTCGGTTTTGGGCCAAATTTTAGTGTTTTGTTCATATCTTCTTCATTTTAAATCGGAATTGGGCTTATGATATACCGTTGGAAAGCTTATTTCAAGGCCTATCCAAAAAATTAATGATTGGATCAAAATTATAGGGCCAAAAAATAAGTTTAGCTCGGTTTTTTGATGTGGACACGAAAAGAGGATAATAAGTTATGGTTTGGGGAAATGGGCTAAGAATTGGGTTGGTTTATTAAATGTATTAGATTGAATATGGATTTAAGCACTCCAAATATTAAATACTTAGCTCGACCAATAATGGCGGTGAAAGGTTGTTCATCATCGTGTTTGGTTTTGGGGAGACATTTTTAGGTGTCTACAGAAGCCCCCACTTTGACTGAGTTAGTAGAAATGTAAGTTTCAAAAACGATAGTCAAAGTAGATGATTGGGACTGAGAATGAGTTAAGACATTCTGCAATCTTAAGTCACTCTATATACGCCGATACCTGTAGAAAAATGTTAGTTCCACAGATAAAAGAGTAAGGGATAGAATGCGTATCCGACACAAGCGCATCGGTAACAAATATGTTTGGTAGGTTTCTACGCCT